CTGAAAGGTCCCAGGTTCGATTCCGGTCAAGGGCATGTACCTGGGCTGCGGGCACATCCCCAGTAGGAGATGTGCAGGAGGCAGCTGATCGATGTCTCTCTCTCATCGATGTTTCTAACTCTCTATCTCTCTCCCTTACTCTCTGTAAAAAATCAATAAAATATATTTTTAAAAAATGGATAATTTTTTTTCATTTTGCCTGTCAATTGAATTGAGATATTCAATTAAGCGACAAGGAGGGAATATAGTTGGAAAGGGAAGAAAACATTTGACTATCTTCTGCTTGGCAAGTACTGTGCTGGACAATGAACATATGTTATTGCAACAAGGGATCCCTGTTTCATGAATTCCCATACCATTCTTTTATTTACGAAGACATCGTTGTTATCATCATTGTGACCACCTTCATGGACTTTAGTACGAGTATATATCCCACCTTTACCAGGGGTAAAGCATGTCACTTGGTTTTGAGTATAAACAGATGAAGGAGATAATGGTTCTTGGTCCTGGAGGAAAGGGAGGAAGATTTATTAAAAATAATGTGTAATATGTGCAAAAAATTTAGTAAACACTACTAGTTCTCAGTTGTTAGTAAATACTGATTAAAATTATGCTCATCAATACTTAGTACCAAAAGAGTGCTTGAGCAATAAACATTTGTTTTGTGAATGAACAGAATTGCCTCCCATTGTTAGTTATATGAGAATATATCTTAGTCACTTTCCTCATCCTTGAGGACAGAAAAAAGGGATACTTTTTATAGAGAGTGAAGTGATTGCAGTATTTGTTGTTTGATTGATTAATTTGTGACTACCGCTATTGAAATTTAAAAAAAAAGTTTTTGTTTATTTTGAACTAGAGGCCTGGTGCACAAAATTCGTGCACAGGTAAGGTTCCCTAGGCCTGGCTGTCGATCAGGGCCAATCAGGTCCCCGCCTCCCTGCCTCCCTGCCTCCTCCTTCCCTCACTTCCTCACCGCGCCATGTTGCGCCACCCCCTGGTGGTCAGCACATGTCATAGCGAGTGGTCGAACTCCTGGTCAAGGGGACAATATGCATATTAGGCTTTTATTATATAGCACTAGAGGCCCGGTGCACAAAACTTTGTGCACTGGAGTGGGGGTGGGGGTGTCCCTCAGCCCCACTTGTACCCTCTCACAGTCTGGGACCCCTATGCCAGCACTTTTTGTTGAATAGGGAATTGTATTTGCTGCAGACACATCTGTGAACTGAAAGTTTTCTTGTTCACAGTGAGGCATTAAATTCCCTTTTAGAACCCAATTTCTTAACATTTTCCAAAAGACCACTTTTCAAGAATACACTACTTAAATTGGCTCTAACCTGAAGTATTTTCCTATTTTTCAAGAATTCAATGGTCACTTTTTCTATTATCTTTGGTATTTATTATAAAAATGCATATTTTGCTGGCATTGCCATTGTGTTTGAATAATATACTACAATATATGTCACAATATATAATGTATAATTACAATATACAATGTTACAATAATTTATATATCTAATAGATTGAAATTGGATTTGATAATTTGCTTTTTTTCATAAATTGGATTTTGAAAGAAATCTAGAAAGAAAGAATGGAGAGAAAAGAGATCTTTTGAGAAATATAAAACAGACTGTACTGTCTCTATATATTTCACTTAACTGGTTTTAGACACTGTCCTCTTGTTTTGAATATATTATTCCAAGACAGAAAACTTGAAATTTGACCGTGAGCTAAACTAGTATTTTACTCTGAATCTACTACAATAACTGGATGTAGGAAAAGGTTTGTCTTCGCTGTCATGGAAATAGACTTCACACCCGTGAAGGAAGTACCTGAGTCATGTGATTAACCAAAGCCAACTTCTGCACCTGGAAGTCACAGTGGCATGAAATTTTAATGTCTCTGATGTCACTCACACATCTCTTTTTCTCTGATAGGTGCTAAAATGGGTAGAGGAAGCAGTGCAGGCCTCCAAAGTCCACCTCTTATCTACAGATCATCTGGAACAGGCTGTGAACACATGGAAAATCCCTTTTGATCCCAGCCTCAAAGAGGTGACTGTGTCCCTGAGTGGCCCTTCTCCAGTGATTGAAATTCGCAATCCTTTAGGTGAGAAATACCAGCATCATATAATAAAATACAAAAACTGTGAAACTGGAAAGACTCTTTGCACACTTATGTGTGTTAACTTAATGCTAACTTATAAATAAATGAAAAAATGACTAGGGAAGTTGTGTAAAAATTAACCCTTTTTTTAGTCATAGTATTGAATTAACATGTGATTTTAAAAGCTAAAACTTCTAATAATGTAAACAGATCAGAGTTAGTAACTTAATTGTACTAAACTACCTCCCAAAAATATATAAGTTGAACCTAAAATTATGTTTTTGTAATCTATGAAGAAATATTTCAGTATTTTGTTATTTTTAAATGAATCACATGAAAAAACTCTTAAAACAACTGTCTAATTTTTTACTGATTATTTTCTTGATAAAAGTTTAAATTTTCAGATGACAGTTGTTAAAAAATAAATTTAAATTTTTATTAAAGTGTTAATTTACTTTGCTTCTATATGTTAAAACCCCAAGATTTGGCCTGATTCCATTTCTGGTCAAATATTACTATAAGTCTTGCATTTTTCAAGTAATCTAGTAAAGACAGAAACCTTATTTTTCCTAATATTTTCACTTAGAAATATTTTTTACTTAATGATATTTGCAAAACATTTTTATTTCCATTTGGCTTTAGTATATGATACATTCTTTTTTAAAAAATGATTTTTAGAGATAGAGGAAGGGAGAGGGATAGAGAGATAAAAACATCGATGAGAGAGAAACTCATTGATCAGCTGCCTCCTGCATGCTCCCTACTGGAAATTGACCCAGTAACTCAGGCATATGTCCTCACTGGGAATTGAACCTGTGACCTCTTGGTTCCTGGGTAAAGGCTCAACTGCTAAGCCACACCTACTGGACTATGACACATTCTCTCTCTCTCTCTCTCTCTCTCTCTCTCTCTCTCTCTCTCTCTCTCTCATCTATTTGTGACTATTTATAAATGTGAAGGGAGTAACCAGCTTTCCTACTTTATTTAATTTGAGTCTTAGAAAGTAACTAATACCTTAAAGAAAGCAGCATAAGAAATTGTCCTCAAAGGCCACATTCACACTAGCAATCAAATTGAAATTTATAAAGCAAGCAAAACCTTTTTCTACAGGTTTTGGCCTTATACATTCATTTGTCTGGTGATGTAGCATTCCACTGTCATACATCCTTGCCACCCAGGAATGATTACTACCTGGGTACTTCAAAGTACCTCTACTCAATGCATTATGTTTCTACTACTTTTCAAGTCATTGACATTGGCACTGATACTTAAAAAGTGATTAATTATTATAAAGCTTTCGATACAAACATAGGATCCATATACTAGTATTTGATTTGTTCATGTAACTGCAGGAGTAGTCCATAGGAGAGCCAAGAGTGAAATGAATAACTAAACAATGATTTAACTCCAAATTTGCTTTTTTCTCTCTCTCTCAAATCCAACTATAAGTTGCTTCTGATAAGTCTCAAATCAATAGGAGGTGGTATTACCCTACTTCCTTACACTCCCTCCTTTAATTGTTCCTCTGACAATAAAAGCCTCTCTCTGTGCTTTGTGGAACCAGTTAGGGTTTTACGCTTTGTGCAAAGATATGCCTTGAGTGATCTCCAAAAAGACATTTATATTGGTTTGCTGTTTTGTCATCTATTAAATATAAGTGTCCCTCTTGACTGCACTTAATTTTCGGTAGCCATATTAATCGTTATCTAAGATGACTTTGGAAACATGGCTGTAGTCTGCCAATTGTTATTCTCATTTTAAGATCAAATCAGCCTAGCAAATGAGAATCCGTTACTTCCGTGGCAGTGCCCAGCAACCCTAAAATTAAGTTCTTTTTGTCTATAACTAAAATAGTGTTTTGAGCTATAGAAACAAATGTCCATTAGGCAATTTATAGTGGAAATGTATACAGCTAATTTACCTAGCTGAAAGAAAGACGATGCTTGTTAACTTTATATCTGCCTTTCAGGGAAGCTGATCAAAAAGGGCTTTGGCCTGAATGAGCTATTGAATATCCATAACTCTGCCAAGGTGGTGAATGTGAAAGAGCCAGAGGCTGGATTGTGGACAGTGAAGGTACTGTTATTTGACAAAGTCTATTTATTACTTTATTTTGATGTCGGCATGTTCTCTAAAGTGTGCACAATAGTTTACTTATATCTTCTCTTGCCATCATGGACAGTGCTTTTACTAAGAAGCTATCTACATAGTGCATTTGTTGGTCTCTTGGTCAAATGAATTTGTTAGTGTTAAGTTTTGATGACCATGAAGACATCAGTGCCACCCCAAATACACTTAAAATTCTCAGTTAGTTTTCCTGTCATCAAATATGTAGATTGATTGTGTTTTCTACCTCCTGCCTCTAAAGCAACTAGAGAAGGAGACTGGAGAGAATAATGGTTAAGGGGCATAGGCTCTGGTGTGGAAGCCTGGGTTGGAATCTCAGTGCCGCTAAAAAGCTGTATTGCTTTGGGGCCATAGCTTCCCTGTGCCTGGCATTCCTCCTGTGTGATGTGGGGGTGTCAAGATTAGTCCTTTATCTTATTAAATTGTGCAAGAATGAAATTAAGATGACGGAAATGGACTGCTTAGCATAGTTCCTGTTACAAAGCAAGCATTCAAGTCCTGTTAGCTATTGTTATTTGACGGGTCTCCATCCATTGTTGACCACAACATGGTACTTGTTTCCTAGAATTACCTTTAAGTAGTGTATATTCGCTCTAAGAAAACATTGTACTTTGGCAATCTGGAGAAAAGAACACACAGCCGACATTCAGGATATCGGGGTACCACAAACCTGGGATCCAGGTTTGCAAATGGTGTGTGTGACCCTCTGTGGTAGATGTTCTGACTAACATATTTCTCAGCCTTTTTTGTGTGCCCTGGCCTCCTTCCAGCTCCAATGTCTGCATTTCTGCGTCTGCGAGTTTTTTTTCCAGAACAAGAGAAGGCTGTTCTGTTGGGGAACTAAACCCCTCAGGAAAGCTGTGAGCCCCACAGGGATAAGCGCCAGTTGTCCACGTGGGAGCAGGAGGAACAGCACACCCTTAGTGGTCTGCATTCCTCCCCGGGATCACTTCCCCTCTTCCTGTCAGCATCCTTCGCACCTCCCAAATAAACGACTTGTTCCAGAGTCCTTCTGGGACAACTCGAATGAAGATGCCCCTTGCAGCCTTTTCTCCTTTGCTGTCTTGGCTTCCCTACATAAGCCGTGGGATTCCTGGGCTCATGCTTTAAATTAGAGAGCTGCTGTGAATGTGTAGGGGGTGTTACACTCTGCACATTGGAAGTGCCCCTTTTGCACTTCAGTTTTTGTTTTCCTTTTCTTTTTAAAGAATACTTGAAATTTCCATTGTAACTCCATTCAAATCCTAGAATATCCATTCTTTATTCTCAGAAATCTGAGCTTTTGTAGGAAAAGTAGAAACGTAATATTGATTTTTTTTTGGAGGGGGTTGGGGAGGTGGATAAGATGGGATAAGGGTGTAGGTAAGAAGGCAATATGGAATAATAAACTCTGGGAATTTCTTACTGAATAGACCGAAAATGACCCCATTGTATTTACCCAGTTCCTTGCATATAGTAGTTGTTCAGTAATTATTAAGCGCATTAGATTAGCAACAATGAAGTGTTTTGCTGCTATATTTTGGCAAATTTGATGTGATAGTTATTTTGACCAACTTGCACAAAATATCACTCGTGTTGAGTGTGTGTTTCTGTGATCACAGTAGGAAGGAGTATAAGAAATTCTGAGTCTCATTTTTTTAAAATCATTGTAAGCACAATCTAAGCCAGCAGTGTCCTGAGCTAGCTAGTCTATTAAGGCAATTCAGTGTTGCTTTCTGAATAGAACATTAAGGTATTGGCGATTAGCAACTTATTGTGAGTATTTGAACTCATTTTCAAGGTGATTTGGATTGCTACCAGTGGTATTTCCTCTAGCACAGTTCTTGCCCAGAAGAGGGATAAGGCATGTCTGTTTTATCTTGTGACTGCCACACCTACTCATTGTCATCCATTCAATAAACGTTCGGTGAGTGCTTGCTCTTGGCAATGTTCCTGATACTTAATGGGAACTAAGCACATTTTAATTGATAATTAGAACAGAAAAACACCGAGGATTAGTCTGTGAGTGAGGAGGGAGAGGATAAGGTGATGAGGCGATGGAAACTCTGTTTAGACAAGTCTCTAAGCGCAGTTTCCTATAATTAAGAAAACAATAAGAAGACAGTATTTATTATTATATTATCTTAAATTTATGTCTAGTCCTCACCTCTGGTTCTGCTGTTACACCATTTCTAGAGTACAATTAGTCGTAACTAAACAAAGGATAAGTGTTACAGGGCAACTTCAAGATAATGAACATATTTGCTCCAATGTGAAATACCAAAATAATGTATCGGTTTAATAATGCGAAGCGAACTGAGCTGAACCGACTGACATAAATATTGGTGCTGTCTTTGGATCTCCCTTTTGGATGGTGAATGAATGAGAATGTTTTACATGTGTGCTTTCTCAAGAAGAAACATGCCTGAGATTAGATAGTATTGTATATCCCTGGTGCTATCCCCCGTGCACTCTGCTATCTGGGAGATGTCTGCTCTATCGGTAGAATTAATAATGGCTTTTGAGTGCTTCACATATCAGTTTTTATCCCAAATATGGAGAACAATCTATTACTTGATCTTAGTGTGGTAGTCAAGGACCAGCCAATGGAGCCTCAATGTCTTTCTAGTTCTTTTCAATCACTTTCCTTTATACTCTTGCAAATAAAATGTACTTAAAAACAAACATATATAGTTGATTTCAGAGGAATGGAGAGGGGGAGAGGGAGAGGGAGAGAGAGAGAAACATCGGTGATGAGAGGGAATCATTGATCGGCTGCCTCCTGCACACCCCACACTGGGGACTGAGCCCACAACCTGGGCATGTGCCCTGACCGGTAGTGGAACCGTGATCCTGGTTTGTAGGTCAATGCTCAATCACTGAGCCACGCCGGCCGGGCATAAAATATACTCATATCCTCTCTCCTACCACATTACTGTTTCTTTTCCTGGAATTCCTTTCCTTCCAACGAATCCCCTAAAGCTTAAATGGCAACACTGTCAGCAAGTCTCATCTGACTTTTTCTGTCTAACATGCTCTCTTTCCATCTGCCTTCTCCTGCAATCTTTCTGCACTTCCCTTTTGGATTATTTACACCCTTATTTCATATTTATTTCTGTATAGATTTTCTCTTCCTGTTTTACTGCAGGCCAGAATTTGTCACTATTATGTATACTCGTGCATGTCACAATGCCTGGGAAAGAACTGTATAAGTACTCATGAATAAAAAGCAATGTATTCATTCTGACGATATCTAAGGAAGCAGGCCAAAGGGTTGATTGAGTCAGCCTATGGTTGATGTACTGGCACAAAACACTTTAACTTTTCCATGACTTAAAATGCTATGAGAGTGGTGTTCTTTTTCCTTCTGTGGTTTCCCTCTGGAACCCTGGAAATTACTTTCCTGTAGTTTTTTGGGGACACTTTTACTAAAGAGGAACAATGAATCAGCTTATCTGTATGGTCCATTTAAAAGACTCAGATATTTTCAGTTGCCTCTGAGGCAGGTAAAAACATGTTAAAAAGAGGTAACTGAAGTTTTATTGCATATAAAAGAGAAGGCTGTTTTCTGTCCCTGAATTCTCATTTGTGGGGAAGCTACAAATCCTGGGTCTTATTTCTGAGAAGCAATATAATTTTCCATTCAGGAAGTTATATCTATATATAGAGAATTTGAACATAACCACGGAACGCTTGGGCCAGATTTTGTGTTCTGGTCTTGAAGGGGAACTCCCAGCAAAGATATTAAGTAGTTGTCAGCACCCATTGGATTTAGGTGGTACAAACTGTTTCTATTAGTCTAGGATTATCAGTGTGATCATGTAACTTAACACACCCCCTGGGGTATCTTTCCATTAAGTATATTTGGATAAACTGTCCTGAGATAATCGCCCAAGGAGAGAAGGGAGTGTACCCAACCACATGATGATATTGAGATTTGGAGACTAGTAGAAATGTTTTGGTTTTAGATAGCTCTGTTGGTTGCCAGAACCTACCAATGCATTTTCTAAGGATAAGGATATTTTATGCCATACTCAAGTGGCATAAGCTTGTTCAGAAATCATAATTAAATAAGCCTCCAGTCTACAAAGGCCCACACAAGAAGAATATTATGCTGACTTCCAATTATTCTCATCTGATGACTCTTTTGAATAAACCTGGAGACTACCCCAGGTGTGGTATTTAAAGGGATTAGGTGAAGCATTAATTCAATGTTTTGGGTCAATGGAATGTTTCGTAGATTTTTTTCCTGGAAAATTCCCCAGTTGTTTTGGTCTGCCAATATCAGAGTGTCAACCAAATGGAATGTTTCCTTTTTTAATAAAAGGATATCTATACACGTGTGTGTATATAAATGAGTATGCGTGTACATATATGGAAGTAGTTTATTCTATGCTTTGGGTACATTTATCTCCTTATATCACATTTCTCTGAACATACAATACCTAATAAAATGATAGTATTTAAACCTAGCTGGCATTATTATATCTTTGTGTCTGGCACAGTGTCCAGTAAGTTCTCATTAAATATCTGATTGAAACCATAATATTCTTTCATTTGTAAAGAATGGCCTGTCATTTAAGAACAAATACTTTGAAAAGAGCTGGGCATCTATTGTAATTCAAGATCTACTACTTAATATCTTTTTGACCTTGGAGAAATGACCTAACCTCCCTAAGTCTAAGGAAAAGGGGGAGGGGATGCCTACTTAATATTGTCATGATTAAATTAGATGTTGATAAAGTACTTAAATGGGTTTTGGACACATGAATAATAAAATTAATTGAATTATTCTTTTTTAATATGTGTAAATTTTATCTATACTTTCTATTAATGCAGATACACACCGTTTTTCAAAAGGTTTGGACTTGTTGATTATTTTATGAAACATTGAAATTCTTTAGGAGGAATGAAAGCCAGCTCCATTAGTTACATTTTAATTCAGTTTATAAAAGGGCACACTTCACATTTAGTACTAGCAGGAGTTCTCACTGGCTCAATACAAGAAAGTTAATTCTCTCCAATGGTCCAGGTCCTGGGGGCGTTGACATGACCTTCTACTTCACACAGTCACCCAAGGTGATGGAGGCACCACCATAATTTAGAACAGGAAGCTTCTTCACTTACTTTAATGGGGGAACAGACGGGAGAATGTACATTGAATTTTTTAAAAAAGAAAGAAATATGTGTTACTTCTGAGATGAGACAGACATCTGTGAGTGATAGACACCCTTCACACCCTTTCTATCACATTGGCCAGAACTATTATCGTGACCTAACAACATGCTGAAGCTGGCCCATAATGGCTCATGGAGAGTCAATCATGCACGTTCTGTTCCCATATCTGTGTTCAGTGACATCATGTTGGGAGCTTTAAATCAGCCATGATGGTAGCATTTACACCCCAGAAATTGGGAAATGACAAAAATTAGGAATTTCTTTTTTCTTTTTAAAAAATATATTTTTATTGATTTCAGAGAGGGAGAGGGAGAAAGAGAGAGAGAAACATCAATGATGAGAGAGAATCATTGACGGGCTGCCCCACACTGGGGATTGAATCCGCAACCTGGGCATGTGCCCTGACCAGGAATCGAACCATGACCTCCTGGTTCATAGGTCGATGCTCAACCACTGAGCCATACCAGCTGGGGAGGACTTTCTTTTTTCAAAGAGTAGTTTGACAAAACTCCACTTACCTGACCCCTCTAAAGTGAAAGTGTATTTAGAAATGTAGAATGGTAAATAAATAGTTGGAGGGTATTATTATCTTCTATGCCAAATCAACCCAGAGATTATGCTATCCTAAAATTCTGTGCACGGCCTTAGGTATTAAAGAAAGAGCACTGGACTTGAAATAATTGCAATTTAACATGCTGTGAAGACCTAGGCAAGTAATCATTTCTTTGAGACTCAGTTTCTTTATGGTGCTAAAAAATAATCTTTGGATATAATAGGATTTTGGAGATAATGTATGAACATTATTAGCATAATGCTTCTAGAAAAATTCAAAAAATTCTTGATGAACCTGACATTGTCTGGTCCTAGGAGAACCTAAGAAAAGCAGTGACATTGGGATGACTTTAATATTTATTAAACTTACATGTACTAAGTGCCCATTGAGTAATATTTTGTAGGTGGTGAATATGACATAAGATATCACCTTAAGGGACTTTCAATATAGAGAGGGATTTAATAGCCCTTCATCCTCACACTCAGAAGTAGACCCATCTGCAATAGAGCTGACCAGGAAGATAACAGGAGCAATGACCATAGTTTTCCATGGAGCTCTCCATGGTACTTGCTCCAAGGGACCTCTGCCTGATCCTTCATTCACTCCAATTCAGAAACCCGGGCGCTGGTCCACGCTGCACCTCTTACTGCTTTGTGAATAAAGGTTCCCTATTGACAGTTTTCTTTGCCAATAGATATGTAATACAGCATCATATTTGCCCCGGTTTGGCCTGCATTGTAGCAGCTTGTGTCATTCTGACCCTGACCCTTCCACCCTTGACCATGATATTCTAATGCAGAGCAGTAATGTAGCTCACTGTATTATATATTGTTTGAAATACAACCCTCAGGACTTCCAGCTCATGCAAATCCTATCCAGTGTCTAGTTTCTAGAAAATTTCCTGTTATGCTTGGAGCCATCAGACTGCTCCTGGATTTCCCTCTTTTTAAAAAAACACTACAGAAGCCATGAGGTTAGGTGGATTCTGTGCAGGAATGATACCTCAAGGAATTCTGTGGAAGAGAGATGCTTTGTGGAGCCAAATTTTAATTTTAATATAGCCTGCAGGTTAAATGTACATGATATAAAGGCCTCCCGGACTTTGAGAGTGCGCAGGCCAGACTGAGGAACATCCCCTCCCCTGAGTGCATGAATTTCATGCACCCAGCCTCTAGTAATTTTATAGAGATTTTAAGGGGCTCCCTATTCATCAAATCAGTTTTATTTTAATGCATTATTTAGCAACAGAGGATACCATATTTTCAAACACTTGGGGAATTTCTGATTTTCTCTCTTAGCTAGTAAGCACCGCTGTTTCCCACATGGACTCTTTGTCAGCTGGTGTGCACACAGAACCCTTGCCAGACGATCAGCACTTCATAGCCGCCATTTGACAAATTGTGCCATATTTTCCCTGGGGGCCTCAACAACTGCTTTATTGTGGGGGACTTTCTGAATAGCAAGGCAACTAACAATGATATATGATGTCAGTGAATAAATCGAAATCAGCTCATCATAATGTGGATCATTTGTTTGTCCTCATATGAAACCAGTAGGCAATAATGTCTTCAATAAAACTGTACATTATCGAAAGCAGCTGAAATTCGTAGAAACATTTTTTGTAATGGTAAAGGAAATCCCTTATTAAAGTAGGATCATGATCCTTAGGTTCCTTTTTGCGTGTCTATTATATATGATTCATAGCACACTTTTCTTTTAAAATAATGGAATAAGAGGCACTATGGAGACCTCTTCATTTACACACACAATCCTTTGTAACCCTTAAGAAATTGAGCCCTCGTAATTAGCAGCAGCATTTAACGCTAAGAATACAACAACACTGTTTTAATGAAGATGTGGGGTTTTTTTTCTTTTTCCTCACTTTTATTTGCCTTTCCTTTGAGTTCCTGCAGGTTCTGCTCAATGAGGAATAAATTTGGTAGTGACTGGAACATATCTCTTCACCTTTCCTCTCCTCATTGCCGAATAAGAAGAAGCCACGGTGATTTAGGGAGTACCGTGTAGCGAGGCTAGCATTCTGTGCTTGCTGATACCTAAAAACGTGTTGAAACTCTGATACGTGTTAGGTTCCCTGGTGTTATCCTGTGAATGCTTTTCTCTCACTCCCAGCTCCTGCTTCTGCTTAAAGGCTGCTATCACGTAGTCATCTTACAGTGGTGATCATGTTGGCATGAGGATTAAATAAGCCCATGTATTTAAAGAGTCTGGGCACAGAGAACATGACCAATAAATGGTCGTGTTGTTATTGTGCCCGGTGGCCCTAATCCAGATTACTTATTACTTATACACACATGACTCACTTCAGTACTTAGTATCCTTCCTCATTTAGTTCAGTCATCACCCCCTTTTAGGTGGTGTTAGCTGAACTTTTAAGCTGCTTTGCTCCTTTTATGTATTTCTGTGTATGGTATCTATTTCAGTCACTACATCGCATTAAAGGTTTCTATTGATCCGTCTGTCCCCCACACTGGCCATGAGCTCTTAAAGCCTGAGGGCCATGTTACACTCAATTTGAGTCTGAAGCGGCTAGGGCGTGGCTGGAACATTGCTGAGTTCAGTGGTGTTGGTTGGCCAAGGTCAGCTGTCCTGTCTGTATCTTCTCAGAGCCACTGGGAAAGTAAATATCTTTCTTAATGAACCTGAATGGTATTTGGGGGAGAAGAT